GCTGTGATGAGGGAGGAGATGAGTGCCCCGGTTATGGCTCTCCTGGTACATCTCTGCTCTCTCACATCCATGAGCAGCACACCCTGCACTGCCGAGAGCTGCTCTTTCAGTGCCATCTCGTGTGCAGTGCTTCTGACCACCTCAAGAAACATGCCTCCAGGCACAGTGTTTTATTTGCTTTGTTTTCAGTATTTCTAATGGCTTGACTCACACCTTTCCTGGGGCAGACCCCCTTAGCTGGTAAATTAGCAGTTCCACACAGAGCCCATTAGTGGCCAAACCAGACGTCTTCAGTTCATGGCAGCACCCAGACATACAGTGAGCCTTCATGAGGCTCTACTACGTGAGCAGCAAAAATCAGAGTCGAAAAACAATAAAACAGGGGAAGAGATGGAGATGAGAGTGTTTTAACACCTGTCTTCATGGAAAAAGTCCACACAGTTTGCCAGGTCTGTCATTTACGAGGATAAGCTCTTTTATTCTGCATTTCAGACGGATTCCAGTGATGTAACAAACGAATTCCAGCTCCCATTTGCTGTTCTGGCAGCAGCTCCTCCCTCAGCTCTACAAACACCTCATCTGTCAGCATCCCAAAGGCAGGTGTGCTCCAGCAGAGCTGGCAAGCTCCCTGAAGGACGTCCTGCACCTTTTTTACGACACACCTACATGACACCACACTCAGAGGAAACACCCCAACAAAGAAGTGTTTTTCATGTGGAGTTGAACCCCTTTTTGCAGCTTGCTGCTGCCTGGTGTTCTTGCAATAAGGTTTCCATCTTGGTGAAAAGCAGAGGCAGGTCTTCCAGATGAACTCAGAGCACATTACCCCTCTTAATGGGCTGCTCAGAGACAGGGGAATATGCCAGGCTAAATGGATGGAGAGCCACGGCCCTCCTCAGCATATTGTGTTTTTCTTCGCTTCTGTATGGCACCCATGTGGCCTGGGAGAGTGTGTGGAAGGGAAATGTCTCTCAAGATGCATCGCTTTCTGAAGGCCGTTTCCCTCCAGCCTTGGCTCTCTCCAGTTTCCCCTGTTGTAATGGGGATAGCTTTCATCTCCTGACATCACTGGGAGGTTTGGGAGATGTTCAAAGTACATCTCCTTGGAAGGAAGTGTTGCTCGGAAAGGAAGAATAATGATGGTGACAGAGCAGGGAGAGGAGATACATTTCCCCAGAAAGATTTTACAGCTTGATTTGCATTAAAAAAAAAAAAATTGTTAGAAGCAGCAGGGAAACATCGTGAGAAATTCAGTAACTCAAAATATTTCAAAGGGAGGAAAAGAATGAGGGAAAAGAAAAAAAAAAAAAAGATAAAATTCAGTTGTACCAAATCACATGTAGATCAAGAAGCAGGAAAGCCTGAGTGCTGGGGGCTGACCAGCCTGGGGCTGATGCTGGTGATAAAACAATCAGAATGACTTATGCTGTCATTCTTCAGTACGGGAAAGGTTGGTTTGGATGCTGCAGCCCAACCAGACCCAAGTCAGCTGCTGGCCACCATTACGTGGTGCTGGCACATTCCTCCTCCCCCTCCCAGCAGTGTTGAAGGACGTAGGAAAAGCACTGCCCCTGCAGCAGCATCTGGCAACTCTGGCGAGGCAGGTTGCCATGGTCAGAAGCACAACAAAAGCATTTCAGAACAGGAGGATCGGCTTACTGGGTGCACCTGAGCCAGATCCTCACACTGCTCACAGCTTTAGCCCACTGCAGAATCACTACTGCTCACCCTCCTCTCAGCAAGCAATGGCGTGGAAGGGACAAGCTATGGATTCTAGGTGAAAAACACACAGAAGCAGCTTTAGCCACACCAGTATGCCCCGCTCCCTTTTCCTCTCTGCCAAATGCACATCTCTGCACACCCACATTCCTGCTCAGCAACACCTGGTTTCAGGGCTGGACCCCAACACCCAGCAGGGTCTGCACATCTCTGGCTGCGTGCAGGCAGCGGGCACCAGCCCCAGTGCACGGCCGTGGAGCTGAGCTGCAGCCTGTGCTGCACTCAGCCCAGTCCTGCTGCCACCTCTGCATCGGCATCAGCATTCAAAGGGATGGAAATCAAATTATATTTAGGTCAGGAATGTGTCTGAAGCAAAACTACCTATTATATTTAAAGCATCTTGTTTAGAGACTCTCTGCTGCTGCCAGGATGGCTGCTGCAGGAACACTTGCTGTTTTCAATATGATCCTAATGATGCAGCAGGAGCTTCCAAAATCTGATTGTTGTTTAGCCATAAATTAAGTTCATTCTCTCTCTTAGCCTAATTAATGATGCTAAATAAGAAGCCACCTGCTGGCAGCTCGTTAGGTGTCCCAAACAGCGACCAAGGCAGGGACACAGGTCCTGCCCGAGACTCACTGAGGACATGGCCACGTCAGTCCAACAGCAGCCTGGGTGACTTCCTGCAGTGCTGCTTGACTCTTCCTTCTTCCAGGGGACAGAGCCCACAGCCCCACTTGCTCATGCCAGTGCACAGCTGGAGGCAGGGACTGTTCTGTTCCTCCACAACTCACTGTAGCAGACACACTGTGGCTTGCCCCACCACTGTGAGACCTCATGGCCTTTCACCTGCTCATAGAACTTCCGACTTTCACCTTATATCTGACTGCCATGGCAATATTCTTTCCTCCGAAAGGGCCCTGCAGGAGGCAGAGCCAAGCAGAGCCTCCTGTACCCCCAGGCCCCTCAGCATCTCCCCAGCGTTCTGTGCAGTAGGCACCCTCGGGCTGGGCATTTTCCATGGCTCCAGGAAAAGGACATTTTCCTCCCTTCCTCTCTGGGATCCTCAGCTCCTGGGAGCAGCAGCATGGTTGGTCTGTTGGAAGGAGGCAGCAGCACAGGACAGCAAACTACCTGGTGGAGGAAGCTGCTTTTCGGGAGCTTTGGGGCCTGGAGCACCACGTTCACCTTTGGGTTCCTCACTACACGAAGAGCTTGAGTTGCTTGAGCATGTGCACAGATGAACAACATATTTGACAAAGGGACTGGAAAACAAGGCCTGTGAGAAGTGGCTGAGGGAATTGGGGCTGTTCATTCTGGAGGAGACTGAGTGGCCTCATTGCTTTCCACAGCAGCCTGCCAGGAGGGTGCAGTGAGGGGGGTGACAAGTGATAGGACATGGGGCAGCAGCCTCAAGTTGCACCAGGGGGGGTTTAGATTGCCTCTCATCAAGAATTTCTTCATGGAAACAGTGATCAGTTCTTGGAATGTGCCGCCCAGGGAAGTGGTAGACTCTCTATCTCTGGAGGTGTTTAAAGGGTTGTGTGGATGTGGCACAAAGGGACACCGTCTTGAATGTGATCACAGGACATGTGTGGGACAGCCAGGGGATTGGGCCCAGCCAACATGGGTTTATGAAAGGCAGGTCCTGCCTGACTGACCTCTTGGCCTTTTATGATCAGGTGACGTAGCTGGTGGATGAGGGAAAGGCTGTGGATTAGTCTACGTAGACTTCAGCAAAGCTGAAGTTCTCCTTTCCCACAGCATTCTCCTGGAGAAGCAGCCTGTGGCTTGGACAGAACACTCTATGGTGGGTAAAAGGTGGCTGGAGCCGGGCCCACTGGGTGGTGCTGAATGGAGTTAAATCCAGCTGGTACCCAGTCACGAGTGGTGCTCCCCACTGGTCAGTACTGAGGCCCAACCTGTTTGATATCTTTATTAATTATCTGGATGAGAGAATTGAGTGTGTCCTCAGTAAATTTGCAGATGACGCCATGTTAGGGGAAAGTATTGATCTGCCTGAGGGTAGAAAGGCCCTACAGAGGAATCTGGACAGGCTGGATCCATGGGATGAGGCCATGGGATGAGACCAAGTGCTGAGTTTTCACAACAACCCCATGCATTGCTATGGGCTTGGGGCAGGGTGGCTGGAAAGCTGTGCAGAGGAAATAGATCTAGGGTGTTGGTCAGCACTCAACTGAACAGGAGCCAGCAGTGTGCCCAGGTGGCCAAGTATGATTCTATGATTTCTGCTTTCCAACAGTGACAGCAATCCTCACTTTCGCCAGCACCTTCACCAACCTGCTGTGAGACAGAGAAGATGCCATCCTCTCTGCCCCACAATGGGAGCAGATGGGGGCCATCATGTAGGTGGGATAGGTGCTGGTGTTAGGGCTTTTGGGATCAGGAGTACAAGCATCTTGAACCTGTTTTATTTTCCAGCTTGAACTGATGAGCACATTCATCAGATAAAATGTGCTTCAGGCTATAAGCAGACACAGGAATGGTTTGAATGAGGTTAGCAGAACAGTCACACAGGAAGGCTTCAGAGCTGGATCACTCTGTATTATTTGATTAGCATGAACACAGCTCATGTAGTCCAGCAGCCAGAGGAGGCTGCAATGCCTTCCTTCCTCTGGACCAATGGCTCTATCCTTGTACTAGCACCAGCCTGCTGCAGCTAGGAGAAAACCTATCATTTTTCAGACTAAAAACCACTGGTGTGCTAAGAGCATGAGTAGCTGCATAGCACTCAGGATTAGTTCTCAGTTTCTATCCTCGACTCTTTGTAAAAGGAGCTGCTTTTATCCAGGGTTAACCTTGAATTCAGATTAGATTTGAGACAGAAGTGGCAAAGAATTTTTTTTTTCTGTGAGCTGCTCATTGAGTCTGACTTATCAGCTTGATTCTAGAAGCTTGATATTAGATCCATCTGTGCAAGAGCATAATTTTAGCTGGGAACAAATATCAGTGAGGCCTCTCCATAGCAAAACTCTAAGAGACAAGGGAATGGAGGCACTGGTCAAAGGGGCCCACGCAGCACTGCTCTAATGAAGTGTCCTTCCCTGAGTGTGGAAGATAGCAGAAGGCATCCGTGAAGCTCTGCTGAGGAACCAATGAGGAGCAGAGCTATAATGTGGAATTTAAAACAGTCCCAAAGGAGGGCCTCGAATGGGCTGTTTTCTTGAATGAAGTAAATGAAAATGATAAGCGAACATTTCCAACAAGACACATGACAAATCGGAAGACAACAAAGGGGAGAAGTTTCCATTTATTTATTCCACTTTAAAATGACTTAAAAGCAAATTTAAAACACTTTAAAAAAAGGAGTTCAAAAATCAAGAAGCTGAAAATAAAACCATAAAGGCGGCATTACAGGGTTAGCAGAACCTAAAAAGCAGAATTAGTGTAAAACAGATTTACAGTCTCAATGAACAGCAAAGCCAGACTGCCCATGTAAACTGAGCAGCATGCAATGCTGCCCCTACCCTCTGAAACACAGAATTCTTTTATCACTTTGCTTGCTGGACAAGAAAACACAACAATTTAAAAGAAAACCATCACTTTCGGCTGGTAGAGAAAACATTACAAATATGGTATTGCTCTGTAGGCACTGGTACGTGGTTTTCTATGGTAAGAGAGCATGCCGAAGCAGAATTCAAAATTGCACGATTCCTCTTAAAATTGATGCAACCTGGGTGACTGAAAATACAAACTAGCAATGCTGTCTCTCTGGTAGTGCCTGACAGCAGCCTTGCCCACAGCGAGCCATTGGAGCCCTGGAAGCTGGACAGAGCTGGCCAGAAGTGCCAGGCAGCACTGCTGGAAAATGAAGGTAGCTCCTGACAGCTCAGATCCATGAAAGGCTTTTGTTACATTGACAAAGAGTGGCTGCATGCTTGCCAAGGCTTTCACTCTGTGTTCTGAGTTACTCTTGACCTTGAGGTGCTGAGGTGACTAAGGAAAGAGGGGGAGCAAAGAAAGGAACAGGGGCTGCTCAGCAACAACTGCACCGTGGTCAGCGGCTGCTGGCAGGAGGTGAACCACAAGTACTCTGCCTAAGCAGAGCACCAGTTCCCTCTCCTCTTGGCTATGCACACCCTCTGCAGAGCACTCTGACCACGCCATGGAGCGCTTGTGTTCTCTGAGGGCAGGGACATGGAGCTCATTAGGACCTGCAACAAAAATAGACCCAAGCAATTGGGAGGAGGCAGCTACTCGGCTGTGGAGAGGGTTAAACCAGTGCCTGTGCTGGGCACCCTGAAGTAGATTTTTACCTCGCAAGCATCCTCACTTATCTTCCCCTACCTGTTTTGGCACACAGAGCCTTCCTGCTCCCCCTGCCTCTCTGGTGGGCAAGATGCCTGAGATCAGCAGCTCCAAATCCCAGTGTCCATGTGCACAGGTGAGGAAAGATTCAGTCTTTTGTTTTACTAGGAAGTCTCTGGATAAAAAACTGTTTAAAAAATGTTGTGACAGGAAGCAATTAGTCAAACATATCCTCAAACATGCGTCGCCCCATGGCTATATAAACCTCTTTTTCCTCCGGAGTCATCTGGGCCACCAGCTCAGGGCGCTGGCTCACTTGGCTATAAGAGTGCGGACGCCCAGCCACTGTGACAGTGGGGTCCTCTGCCACCACCTCGAATTCTTCCTCCTCATCCTCCTCCTCCAGCCCATACGCCATGGTGGCAGCAGCAGGAGGACGGGGAGGAGTTTCTTCCTCCGACTCGCTGGTCTCACTCTCGGAGTCACTGGCGTTGGCACCGGAGAGAGGAGCGGCACCTCCAACGGTGACTGTAGAAGCAGATGGTGTCTTCTTCTCATGGATCAGCAGGGCACGCATCACCTCTTCATTATCATCCAGAGCTGCCCGGCCCTCCTCACGCTCCTGGAAGGCATCCAGATCCCGTCCTCCTGCAAAGAGATACAAAGGAATGAGAGTTTCCTCAGAGAGATTGGGGTGCTGGCACTGAAGGCGCTCTGAATCCTAATTTCTGCCTTCTGCTGCTGTGCATCCTTGGCCACGTCACAACTCCTCTCTGTGCCAGCTCCCTTAAGAGATGGAGAGAGTGAAGTTTTCTCTTAACAGCCTGGAGGACTAGATGATCTTTGAGGTCCCTTCTATTCCAAGCCATTGGGGATGACAAAGACCAGGATGGGATGCAACTGACCAGGAGGAGCAAGAATGTTCTGGGTAGAACTTTAAACTCCAATTGATGGGGGACAGGGGTGAGTGACAGAGAAGAGCCAGGGAACACTTGTCACTTTAGGAAGAAGAGGGGGAAAAAAACATTTGTCACAAAGGGATTTGGGAGGGCTCCACCAAGAAGGTAACATGGCAACAGCACAGCTAAAATGCCTCTACACTGCATGGAAAATAAGCAGGAGGAGATGGAAACCGTGGTGCAATTAGAGAACTATGAACTAACTGCTATCACAGAACCATGGTAGAATGAATCCCATAACTGGAATACTATGATTGAGGGCTACAGAAGGGATAGGCAGAGCAGTAAGGGTGAGGGAGTTCCTCTCTGTATTAAGAAGTAGATAGATTGTGAAGAACTGCCTCTGAGTAACAGACATCATCAGGTCCAGAGCTGGTGGGTTAAAATTAGGGAACAGGCCAATAAAGGACATCTAGTGCTTGGAGTCTACTACAGGCTTCCTGATCAAGGAGAGCTTGTTGATAGGAGGTCTTCTTGCTTTTGCTGCAAGATGCATTGCACTTGCAGGCTCTCATCCTGGTGGTGGATGAGATATGTGCTGGGGGAACAATACAGTGAGCTGCAAGAAAGTCCTGGAGACTCCTGGAATCTGTTGAGGACAACTTCTGGTCCAGATATTGGAGCACTACTGGACCTGGTGCTCACCAGCGTAAAGGAGATCATAAAGAGGTTAAGACTGGAAGCATGCCCTGTTTGAGTTCATAATCTTGAGGAATACAGGCCTGGCAAAGAGCAGAGTCAGAACTCTGAATTTCAGGAAAGTGAACTTCTGTCTGCTTAAGGAACTATTGGATGGGATACCCTGGGAAACTCTCACGTACAAAAGAATGGAACAGAGGTGACAGCTCTTTAAGAACACATTTCTGAGAGCCAAAGAGCTCTCTACCACCCAACATAAGACTGCATCATATTCTTATCTCTAAATTGAAGAGATACAGATTTGAAGGGTGGACCATTCAGTGGATAAGGAACTGGTTGGATGGTGGCAGCCAGAGGATTGTGGTTAACAGCTGTATGTCCGTGTGGAGGCCAGTGACAAGTGGTATCCCCCACAGGTCTGTCTTGCGACAAGCATTCTTCAACATCTTTATCAATGACATAGTGGGACTGAATGCATCCTCAGCAAGTTTGTTGAGTGGTGCAGTTGACACAATAGAAGGGAGGGACCTGGACAAGCTGGAAAAGTGGGCCCAAATGAATCTAATGAGATTCAACAAGGTCATGTGCAATGTGCTGATCTTGTGTTGGGACAATTCCAGATATGAGTGCAGACTGGGAGAACTTCCTGAGGGCAGCTCTGACAAAAAAGGACTTGTGTGTTTTAGTGGATGAAAAGTTTGAAACGAGTCAGCAAATCTGTGCACTTGCTGCCATTAAGATATTATGTCTTGCCTGTGTTGGTCTAGTACAGAAGTCCAACTGTATCCTAAGTTGCATCAAAAGAGGGGTGGCCAGCAGGGCAAAGGAGGTGATTGCTCCCCTCTACTCTGCCCTTGTGAGGTCCCATCTGGAGTACTGCATCCAGGCTTGAGACCTGCAGCACAAGAAGGATGTGAAGCTGTTGGAGCGGGTCCAGAGGAGGCCATGAAGATGATCAGAGGGCTGCAGCACCTCTCCCGTGAAGAAAAGTTGAGGGAGTTGGGCTTGTTTATCCTGGAGAAGAGAAGGCTCCAGGGATTCCTCACAGTGGCCTTCCAGTACTTGAAAGGAGCTTACATACAGGAGACAGGCTTTTTACACAGTCTGATATTGATAGGATAAGGAAGAATAGTGTCAAACTAAAAGAGGGAAGACTTAAGTTAGATACTGGGAAGAAATTTTTTACTCAGAAGGTGGTGAGGCACTGGCACAGGCTGCCCAGAGAAGCTGCAGATGCCCCATTCCTTGAGGTGTCCAAGGCCAGGCTGGATAAGGCCCTGGGCAGTCTGAGCTGTTGGGTGGCAACTCTTTCCATGACAGGGGAGCTAGAACTAGATGACCTTTAAGGTCCCTTCAAATCCAAGTCATTATATGATTCTATGGTTCTATGACCATGGGGAGCTTCCAGCACAGGCTACAAACACAGAGCCCAAGCCGGGCCCTACCCTGCTGAGCTCCTCATCTATAAGGATTAAGATGGATCCAAGCAGGGAGTGTAAGGAAATCGTGTGTTATAAAACAGCACTGTTTACAGACTGCATAAAACAGTCTGGTAAGCTCAGGGTTGCACTTATCAGGCAGGAAGGGGAAAAGTTCATTAGAGGATCATGGTGAGAGTGCGTGGGATTTATCCTGCAAAGCTGATGAAGCTCACAGCCTGAAGCCACAGTGTGCAGCACAGTGTGCAAGGCTGTGTTAAAAGAGCTGCTGTTCCCAATGCCAACCTGCAGCCCAGCCAGAACAGCGAGGCTGGTCTGTCTGGCTCTCTACCTGCATCTTCTATCTGAAAGGGACCGCGGTTTCCAAGCTGGCAGATGTAAGGCCTGTGTCCCTGCTTCAGTAAGGTTGGCTGCACAATAGCTGGGAGGGGTTTGACAAGGTTTGGGCAGGCAGGGTGCAAGCAGTTTGCAGATTCAAAAGCTAAAATTCTTGCTCAAGAAGTGGCTTTCTGCAAAAAAACTTCCTATGTTTGCTGAGTACTGTGAGTCTTCTTAATATCAATAAACCTACAGGCAGGAGGAAGGAAAAACTACAGAATAAAAAAAAGAGATACAGAAAACCTTATGTACAAAAAAGCCCAAAAAGTAGGACAGACTCCCCAAGGCAAACTCTCTCTCTTGCACCAAAAGAAGTTGTGTGCAAACAATTGCTGAAGCCAATGTGATGGCTTTCTGCTTTCATAAATTAACACCCCTTGCCTTCTTTTCCAAAGCCTGGGATGTGAGCACCACATCCAAGCAGCTGACACCCAAGGCCTCCAGAGTTCAAAAATGCACTTGTTACTTTTCCAACTTGAGACAAAAATATGCCAAGAAACAGGTAAACTGAGGAAGTAAGTCCTGCATTTTGCAATAAAAGCAAGGGGACTATGTGGCCACTCCTTTCCTATGGTAAAATAAAGGCCAAAAGACCTATCTCTAACTTCATGGGAACTGTGTTTTATTGTAAATGAAGCTTTACTAACAGGTGATGACCACAACTATTATTAATACACAGACAAAATTCTTGAAAGAAAGGAAGAGCAAAGGCATTAGGTTGGCAGCCTTGTGTTTAGCTGCCTGCCTATGATTCTACAGCACAAAAGACTTTTGTGAGAACTGTTCCTGCCAGATATAAGCAGTCAATGTTTTCATTCAGTGGCCCCAAATTTTATTTCTTCCTATTTATGACATGCAAGAGTCATAGGAATGTGTTCCAACAGATATTTCAGGCTATTTCCACAAGCTCCCTCTTGGATCTCCAGCAGTGAGGTGAAGCAGTGATGCAATTGGATTGTTGGAGATTTACTCTCCCTCCATGTTCTTCAGTGTCATCTGAGATACATTGATGCTGTATACACCAAAAGTCATCTCAAGGAACCCATTTAAAAGTAGAGATGAATTGAATGTCTAGCAGAAAAACGTGATGAGAACTTTATGGCTCCTGAGTAACATCATCTGCTACAGACTGCAAGAGGAGGTTCATTTAATCACCACCTTGTTTAATCTACTGGGATAACGTTACAGGATCCATTTGTTGTTGCATGCAAACAACGTCAACAGGTATCTTCTGACCATTTTTTCACATCTGCTTCTACCTGTAGAACACCACTCCACTTTGGGTGCTAGGTTCTCACACTTATACATGATTCTCTTTTGCCATTTTCTGTTCCTAGGGCACCAACAGGGATTATTCTATAATCCCCAAGTGTCTTGGAAGACTGTATCTATTGATTTACACTCATACAAATGATAAAAAGTCTCTCCTATTTTTAGTATGTAAGCTTAAATAGCAAACTTAGCAACGCAGAAAGTTTCTACTAATGCCTACAAGATCTTAGCTATGGTCAGCCAACAATGTGTCCTCAACATGAATGAAAATAAAAGCAAAGCCAATGAGAAACCAACAGAAAACAAGGACTCACCTGTGACAGGCTTTCCTACTGTGCTTCCAGAAAATTTATTTCTGACATACTCTTCATATGAAATATTTCATATGCTGGGAGCACAAAAACACTGCTGGTAGATTTGATAGGCTTCAAAGTCACCAAATGTTAATAAATACTATTTTCCAGCAGTGTCCCACTGGGGGCCAGCTTTCTAGATGAAACTGAAAGACCTTCATCCAAAAGCAATAAACTCTCAAGGCAGGAGAACATCCATTAATAAAGGTATAGGAAGAGGTAACAGATAATTAACATTTCAGAAGCACAAACAATTCTGTGGATCTAATCAACTGGGATTTTTTAAATCTAGCTACACCACAGGTGCTTTGCACAGGAGAAGGAAGCTGGCAAAATCTGGAGCGCTGGGAGCAGCAGCTGTACACCCAGGGTAATGTATTTCTGGCATCACATAAGCAGAGCAGCACTTCTGCTCGGTGAATTTTCTTACCATCCTTGATTTCATCAGGATCATAAGCCCCCTGCACTGTGCTCTCCCGTAGCCAAATCGGCCTCTCTCGGGCTGGCTTTCCTTCACTTGCAGATCTGTTAACATCCTCCTGATCTTCCATGCTGATGACAACGTTCTGGGTATACAAGTCCTCATAGGATGGTCCTTTTGTAGTCCAGGCTTCTCGATGGTGTCCACCCGTAACAGCAGCTGTCCCTGAACCGGTCCCAGCTGTACGTTCTTTGCTACACAAAAGTCAAAGAGACAAAAACAGAGCACTCAGAACAAGCCCCATCTTGGCCAGCGTTGCAACACTTGAACTAGACTATCACCAAGAACTTTCATTTCTAACAAGTAGTCCAGGAATTTCTATACCAGTTTGCTGATTTGGGCAACTTGTGGTCTTCAGTAGGGAGCCTTACATAAGGCCGTGGCAACTTCTAAAACAGCTACCGAAGAGAACAAGTACTATTAAGGATGCTGATGTACTTAATATAAAAACAAATGTAAAATTCCAGAATACCCTGAAATAAAAGTCACAGCAGCAAAACTTGGTCCCACAGTAATCTCGTGTATGGCATCAGGTCTCTTTTTTGCTTTTACAAAGCAACCTTATATTGCACAAAATCCAGAACTAAACTTTAAGCAAGTCAGAGGATAGGAGCAAAGACCCAGCATGCTCAATCTGTGAGGCACTAATCTCAGGGCTCCTGAAGGGGTTAACTTGTCATGAAAAATACTGATCTAACCCTTGCTTGAATGGTGAGTGACACTGCCCCCACAAATCACATCTCCTCCATTATGCAGCATATCTGCACTGTCCACAGACTGCCCTGGAAGGAGTGGGAAATCCATGCAAAGAAAGATGAGAGGACAGCTTCAAACCAAGGACATGGGCTGGGCAAAGGGCTTCACATGGTGCTGAAGAGCAGGAAGAGATAAGACAGAACTGTCTTCACAGCAGAAAAGCTGGAGGGAGAAAGGTGATAACAGAATGTGAGGGTAGGACAGGCACAGTCTAGCACTCCTTTGTGTTTTGAGAGGAGCTGCTGCCAGCACACTTTCCTTCAGGCTCCCTTCTAGCTCAGGAGACTGATGAAGAAAGGAAACAGTCCTGCTTGAATCTGATGGAAAGAGGACATTGGGTGGAGTATTTTCTGCATACTGATGGAAATGAGCTGAAAATACTCTCTGGCTACAGATGCAGAAGAATGGAAGCTCCCAGCTCTCCAGGTGGGGGAAGCCAACGATAACTATTCCTCTACTTCCAAATTGCATTTCATCTTCACAGAAAAATAATAGATTCACTGCACATTGAGGCCATCCACAACCCCTATTAGATGCCATAGAATTGCAGCCATTCGACTGCCAATGGCGAAGTCTGCTAAGGCTTTTCACGGGTACCAGACCTGCCTGGGTTTCTCCTTTTGTCCAGAGGAAATCAATGATGGATGCTAGCAGTGTTCCTGCTCTGCTGCCAGCTGCTATCAGCTGAGCTGACACAAGTTGTGAGCGAGCACGGTTCATTTGCTGCTATCTACCCAGCAACCTTTCCTCCAACGGAGAAGCTTAAAATAAGGCTGCAGTTGGAGACCTGAGTAATACGCATCTTTTTAAATCAGCGAGGATTTAACCACTGCTTGACAAGCTAATTCTGCACAATTTTTAGGTGTAGACAAGGGGGAAACACGGGCAGGTGGTCATCTTTCTTCCCCAGATATAAAATGTCAGCGTGTTGAGCCTTGCTTAGGATTGAGGACTGTTCACAATCTCTTACTAGTGCATTCGCTGCGATCTGATAGCAAAATACTTCACAATATTTGTGTTAGCAGGTGTCCACATGCTAACTGCTTCTCTCCCACAGGCAGACCTGCTGGAAAAGCTTCACAGCAACCTTGAATTTCTGGGCTGAAGGAAAAGACTCGTGCACATGCACTGCTTATATAACCTAAGGAACCACACAGAGAGACCTTCTTCCCAGTGTGTTATTTCAAGTGTTGGCACCTTTCAGTTTTCCAAGACAGGCATGTGTTCTGTGAAAAGCACCGCTCTGCTTCCCACACAATAGAAATCCGTAACCAGCGTTTCCCTGACAATTTTATGTAATCCACTTTCCTCACAAGATGCACAATGCAACTCTCCCCCAGCCTCTCCCTCTGCACGCTGCAGTGTGACAGCTAAATACTCTCTAGTGCCAAGAGCTGCCTAATAATACTTTCACACAGAGGTGCCCAGAAGTATATTCAAAATGGACTTTTTGCCCACGCAGTATCATTTAGTAGCAAAATACTTATTCCGTAATGTCAGGAACATTTCAAAATGAAGGTAACAGCTGTAAGAAACACCTACAACATGAATTACTTTAAACCATCTACTGCAATGTGTCACATTCACCTGGAATAATGTAGACATTCTGTCGACTCTCGGACCTCAGTGAACTCTGTAAGCATATCCCAACTCAGTGTATCATTTATGCAACTACATCTTCAACCGTACTGCTAGAGGGAGTGGGCAGCCTCAAGGCTATGTGACCAGCAGAATGTTTCTTACTGCAAGAAGAGTTCTTACCGTTCAGCACACTTATCCAAGGGATGGCATTAAACACCCTACATCAGGCACCAGCAAAAAGCCAGATGTGCAAGCTGCCTTATGGGCAGCATAGGGCAGATGAGGGCAGCGCGTTCTTAGAAGAATTCCTCTGTAAGATCCAAGGTGCACTTTTTCCCCTGCTTCCAGACATTGCACAGCCACAGTTGGAGCCAGGAACTGCTCAGACAGCAGCAGCTCAGTGGCCCAGCTCTAGCTACATCTGCTCTGTTACCCATAGGTTGTTTTATCATGATGGAAGTTGCTCCATAAGTGGTTAAGCTGCCTTCAAAGGTGATATAAATAATTCTTAATATAGCTGAAATATGGCCCACAGATACCACACTGTGCAGTGGGAAAACAAGTTAAAATTTTCACCTCAAGACTGTCCAGGCTAATAATTAAAGGTCTTGCAAAACAAGGATAACTCTTTTTGTGCCGTATTTGAAACAAAGCACTCTTTCATTTAGCTACTCTTAACAGATCCAGCTTCAAAGGAAACAACTCATGGTCCTTGATAGCATGACTAAAAAAAACGAATTCTGTGAAGATTTATATTATCTAACATCATGCTATTCTGACATAAGAAAGTGAAGGGGATATTCCAGGCTGGACGTGGCTCTGGGCAGCCTGGTCTGGTGGTTGGTGACCCTGCACACAGCAGGGATCACACACATGATCACTGTGGTCCTTTTCGACCCAGGCCATTCTATGATTCTATGATTAAAATCCACCTGTTCTAGGAAACCATGCAGAATGGCTCAGATGAAGCACGTACATTTTATAAACTACGTGGCTAACTCACACTCTGCCAAGATTAAAAATATTAATGACTCCTAGGAAAGTACAGATGGAGGTATGACCAGTTTCCATGGCAGGTGAATGACAATTGCATGCTGTTGGTGCAGTTGGTTGGAGTTACCATCTTCAACACCTGCAGTTGCCTGTGTCTGTGCAGAGAGAAGATGTGGGCACTTTGTGACCCTTTCTGTCAGTTTCAAAATCATCAAAAGTCAGTTTTGTCAATGATTTCAAAAACTCAAGACTCCATAAAACGGCCATAATAAATAACCCAGGATTCGACACTTTAAAAAAAAAATCTCACAGCACTACTTTCATGCAATTATCTGCCTTGAATTAATAACAGTTAATAAATAATTAAATCATCATATGTGCTGAAATAAGTTGTGCTCAAGAAAGGGTTTTAAAATGCTTATTTATTTTATCATTCCTTGTTTGGAGTAATTAATCATTTACAGTGTTTTTTAAGTATTTAAGAGTCAAGTAAGTGGGTGCTCCTATTTAATCATAGGACTGTACCAGGCTTCTGCTGTGCTGATTTCCTGTGCACCGAGACAAGGTGGCCATGGGGAAGACTGAAATGACCCTTTTTTTGGTGGGGTTATCCCAGTTTTAGTACACAAACTACAGAACATAGTTTTTAAAGCAAAATTTAGTGATTCAGCTTGGGAACAAAGGCTTCAAAGACTCCCCATATCAACAAAGAAACACTGAGTGACCTTGGAAAAATCTCCCCTCCGTATATCGCTTCTGTTTTTCTATCAGAACGATGAGCAAAATTAGCTATATCCTTGGCTAGAAAAAGACTATGAATAGACAAGTAATTTTTATTATACTAATTAGAAACTGTCTAGCATTAATATATGATGAACATTCTCTCTCAAGGTTAGCTTGAAAGTAAAGAAAAGAGACTCTTGCTTGTTCTCCCATTAACTAAAGTCAAGCATCCCAAGGCACTGTGGGAATGCTTCCCCCTGTGGTACAGATTTTTTTTCTTGGGCGTTTAATTAATTATTTTTTTTAAACAGAGAGAAGCACATCACATTTCACCATAGCTGACAAAACTGACAGCTCCCCACATCTTTCTGCATTATTATGTTATTATAAACATCATCGATTTTTGTACAACTACAAAAGTTCTGAAAGAAAATGTCATTTCTCAAGGGCAGGAATGTTTTAAAGATCATAGAATCATAGAATGGCCTGGGTTGAAAAGGACCACAATGATCACCTAGTTTCAACCCCCCTGCTATGTGCAGGGTCGCCAACCAGCAGACCAGGCTGCCCAGAGCCACATCCAGCCTGGCCTTGAATGCCTCCAGGGATGGGGCATCCACAACCTCCTTGGGCAACCTGGTCCAGTGTGTCACCACCCTCGGTGTGAAAAACTTCCTCCTAATCTCTAACCTAAACCTCCATTGTCTCAGTTTAAAACCATTCCCCCTTGTCCTATCACTATCCACCCTTGTAAACAGTTGCTCCCCATCCTGATTTTCCAACTATAATGTGGAATACATCCTAGGCATAAGTGATTCATGTACCCCACCCCACAGAAAAGTGCATGCAGAAGACTGATTAGAAGAATAGTAATCTGCCTTGTTTAGTAAAAAAAAAAAAGTGGTTGTGGGTAAGTGGATGAGTCATCTCCTTATAAACCGTACATTCCTCAGGGAATTTGTCAGTGGCTTGCACCATTGGTGCTGAACAAGTGGGTCCCTAATGCACAAGGCTTGGGAAAGCCTCACGGAGCAGATGAACACACTACGAGAAAGCAGTATGGTGAAAGAAGACAGGGTCTGTTCCCACCTCTGCTTCAAGGCAGGAATCTCGGTGGGCTCTGGTTCAAGGACTTCATAGGCTAAGTTGACATCTTCTGTCTCACGAAGTAGCTTGTAGATGGGCTCGATCTGCTCATTAAATCTTGCCACAAGTGTCCTTGCATCCTTTTTTGGCATCACCGACTCATCCTCTTCCACTTCAGTCTCACAGAAAGTACAGCGGAAAGTTCCTAAAACAAAAAAAGTTGCTAAATATCAGAGGAAAAGCAACAAGGCCAGCTCTTTATGCAGCATTTTCAACAGCAGTGCCTCACTGTTTACTTGGCTTGATGCTAAATAGCTCTTCTCACTCTGACAATCCCTTTCCACAGAGGATGTACCTGGTTATTATTTAAGCAGAAAACAAAGCCAGCACTCTGATGTCACCCAGTGAAATCCAGCTTGGGGTACAGTTTCTTGCTCTGAAATGCCTAGATGTGTTACAGTACCACTATTGAGACACTCCCTAATCCCACACACTCTTTCTTGCTAGACATTTTAAATGTTATCTACGACTAAACTGCGATAAAAAGCTTCACATTATAGTGTTAGGAGCTCAAATATCATCTGTTCCAGGTGCTGGAATTGCTATCTCCCAGGCCTCTGAAACAATTCAGTTTCACAAATGAAGTGGTGTGCAGTTTGACACTGCCCAAACTGCTCTGCAGTAACTGTTAGTACAACCATCATCACAGTGAAATTCATGCAAAAGGATGGCTTCTCCTCCTGCTGTAGGGCCATGGCAAGCAGACCAGTCATTACGGCAGAGTAGCAAAAGTTAATTTTGCTCACATTAATTTCTTGAAATTAAGAATGGTAAGTTAACAATTGTATGAAATCAACTAAGAATAAGCTTGTTTCACAGAGCTCACCAGGAGTTAGAAAAACAGGTCAAACAGAAAGGCGACTGAAATGGTTGCCTGGCAATGCAGTTACAAAACCTGACTGAACTCCTGCACAGCAGGCCTTTTGGTTCCGTTGCTCCATCTGTGAGCAGGAACCTTAGGGAAGTACTTGCACAGTAGGACCCTGCCATATGGCTTGCTATGAGGGCAGCAGTGCAGCACAATGACTTAGCCTTGAAACGCTGTACAATAGCAAATCCTGCTGCCTCCCCAAAACTTACTTACATACGCCAGCATGCTCTTGGATTTCTTGTGTGATTTTTTACTTACCCTTTCCATGGCACCTAAAAATATATCAGTATCATAATAATGAAAGAAAAAAATCTCTTTTTCACTAACGGGGAGCCTGAGGATAAGTTGTATCAGGGAAATCATAAAATCATAGAATGGCTTAGGCTGAAAGGGGGCCTTAAAGCCCATCCAATTCCAACTCTGCTACCATAGGCAGTGTTGTCACCCATCAGAGCAGGCTGCCCACAGCCCCATCCAACCCGGCCCTGAAGAGCTCCAGGGATGGGGCATCCACAGCTTGTATAGATAGCCTGTGCCAGTGCCTCACTGCCCTCTGAGTAAGGAATTTCTTCCTAATGTCTAACTTAAATCTCCCTGCTCTTAGTTTAAAGCCATTCTTCCTTGTCCTGTCACTATCATATTCATGTAAAAAGTTGGCCCTGTCCTGCTTTTAGACTCCCTTCAAGTACTGGAAGGCCACGATGAGGTCTCCCTGGAGCCTTCTCCTCCAAGCTAAACAAGCCGAATACTCTCAGCCTTTCTTCATAGGAGAGTTGCTGCAGCCCTCTGATCATCTTCATGGCTCTCCTGTGGCTATGTTTATGTCCAGCAGTAAGTGTTAGGATCAGTATTGGAGGCTGCTATATCACTGATGGTAAGTACAAACACAGTTGGATGGAGGGGGCTGGCCCATGGTATGTTGGAGCATGACATAATGAGACAAGTGTGCAAATCAGGACTTCTAGCACCTTGCATTGCTGCATTCACAGATTTGTTGATCTTATCACCTAATTTTTCAGCGTATCTCCTTCCCCACCTGTAGCAGAGTGATTAAAACAGGCCCAGTTGGCTGTGAGGGCTAGACCATGCTTCTGCAGCTCTTGGGAAACACATAAAAACACTTCAGGACAGGAAGCAGAATCAGTACCCTTTCTCCAGTCTGTAGAAATGCAGTTGTGTACCTTAGCACCATCTAAAATACGTATTGCTCACTGTTACTCCTAAGTTAACCCAATTGTGCTGTATATGGGGCCTGTAACATGTGCAAACTTCCTGCAAAAGCTTTATAAAGTTTGTCCTACCTACATGTAAAAGCTGTAACACCTGACGCCAGCAGTAAGCAATGTAAAGGGTAGGTGGATAAAGTGCTCTCTTCTCCTATCAAAGCACAAAACACTGCTTACTTTTTCATCCAACAAAAATTGTACTACTGATTCAAAAGCAGAACAACTATACAAGATGTCAGCCAGCCAAAGTTTGATCTCCTTATCCCACATCTGAGACTATCAGTGTGAAAAATTGGCACAAGTTAAATCAATTTAAAAGAACAAGCACATCTCAGTTGCCATAGCAGTCTGAGTGAACAAAGACGAGGAAAACTCTCTACTCTTTACAACCTACTCCCTAACTTCAGCCACAAAGTCCTGTTGCATGTTCCTGAGACAGCTCGTGCTGTGAAAACATGTCCATCTGTGAATCCCATGCGTGAGTATATGCAAGAGATAAAAATCATAGGGAAAATGGTTCCAATTCGCAGCACCAAAGAATCAGACAATAAATAGAGCTCTAATGAAACGGAACTCCTGAAGCTATCATGGTTTTTCTGCAACTTCCACCCTTCAGGGTTTGTCATAAGCAGAAAATAAAATTAATAGCTGAATTATGTAAAGAATCTGAGAATGAGTGAAATGACAGGCTTCCTCCATTAATATGCTGATTTTTTTTGTGGTGATGTAGCATTTCAGAAGAGGCGGATGTGATTAGAGAACTGAGAAGTTGGCTTCCCATGGCAGATGGCATTTATATCTTGCAAACCTCTTCTATTAGACATTAAGAGGTCACAAAATGTCAGCAGAGCTTTTATGACATGGCACATCACATCAGCAGTGACACATGCTCCTTACAAACATGTATTGCATATGACAAACGTGAAGGGAAGGCCATCCAAAGCTTGAGAATGGCAACGTTCCCACTCTGATGACATATTTCTTCCTTCAGTATAGCCACGACTGATGGCTTTCCATTCAAAGACATTGCATGAGGCAGGGCAATAACCTGGAGCTTTCTTGCATACCAACAGAGCGCACATATATCCTGTTCAGGCACGCACACAAAAGCACATTAAAAACCAGCCATGTGAAAGATCTCATCTGCTCCCATACTCTCAAGGACAGATACACTGGTCATCTGGCTCCCTGAGGCACGCTGTGATTAAAGTAGCTCAAGCTCTGAAGTATAGGGCCAGCATATTTACAGACAATTCCCGATGACTTTATTTCACTTGGGAGAAGGAAAAGGTCAACGTTCCACATGCATTACACGCACAATGCCCAAAGCATGTGTGCTATATCTGCTGTAATTCTACTGTGTGCAAAAATACAGAAATGGAGCAAGAGGAGCTAGCAGAGATAGGAGACATCATAGTTAACACTGCTTCCATTATGTTAGCTTGGTTCATCACATATTTACACATTTAACTGAAATGAATCTGCTCAAGGCCTTCTATAGAAACACTGAATTGTTTGGGTTGGAAGGGACCTTAAAGCCCACCCAGTTCCAAGCCCCTGCTACAGGCAGGGTCCCAGGAACACCTCCACGGATAAGGCACCCACAGCCTCCCAAGACAGCCTGTTCCAGTACCTAGAAGGATCAAGCTCGTATCCAGTCAAAGGGGTATTTCTTCTACTCTGCTCTTTGGGATGCTGCCTTAGACTCACACTGTTCTGATACTTACCACCTCAGTTTACTCCCATTCATTTCAAACCTATGTAGTGCTGTGCCAAAACATGCACCTCACCTCAGCTAGCTTCCATCTGGTTGTTAATCCTTCAGATATATTTACAAACTGCTGTCCTACCAATTCCCTCCACCTTCATTTTGCCAGTCTAAACAAGCCATGCATTTATCTCCCCCTAATAAAACTGGCCACCCATCCCTTTGGCCATGCTATCTGTCTCATAACACACTTCCTCCAGTTTGCTCTCGTCCTTCTGCTATACAGAAAAAGCTGAAGTGTATGTAACTCTCCAGATGAGATATCCTAAAATCCCAATGGCATTAGTTCTTCTTCAATGGCTACTGAGACCTTTTAAGATCACGGGAGGGCTGTTTCAATTATCACAAGCTCTAGCAACGCTCCCAGACCTTTCTTCCTCCTTTGCAGTTTCCAGTTGATGAGCTCCATGTTTACAGGAGGTGTTTACAAAAGATGCTAGGCGCATCATACTGTACTTCATACTGTGATCATTCAGCTCATTTTTATTACTCCAGCGTTCATCTCACCCAACTCCTTCTTCTTGACTGTAAGCACAAAACATTAGGGTAATTTATTTCAAAATCTGCTATGACCTTCTTTAGAAGTAGCATTTTTACCACTACACGAAGGGTGATCTAAGGCACAGATAGCAGAATTTCAGCACTATCTGCTGACTGGAGCAGTACTTGGTTTGAGATACCTAAGAAATCATAGACTCATAGAAACACAGAATAGTTAGAGTTGGATGGGACATCTGAAGGCCCTCTAGTTCAACTCCCCTGCAATGAACAAGAACACCACAGCTAGACTGGGTTGCCAGGGCCTTATCCAGCCTCGCCTTTAAGGTCTTTAGGGATGGGCTGTCAACCAGAACACTGGGTAACCTGTTCCAGTGCCTCGCCACTCTCACTGTAAAAGATTTTTTCCTTATATCCAACCTAAATCTACCCTCTCTGAGTTTGAAGCCATTTCCCCTTGTTCTGTTACCACAGACCCTGCTAAAGAGTCTGTCCCCTTCCTTCCTGTAGCTCCCTTTTAGATACTGAAACTTGCTTCTCCAAATCTTGTTTCAGCAATAAGCATGCAGTTATTTAATCCATCATCATCCAGGCTCTAGAACTGGGCATCACAACTGACTAGGAAAAACAGTTCGTGACAGCCTTAGAGAAGTTTACCTGAAAATGACCAGTCTGAAACAACACAGAAACATAGCTGGCCTGGAGGGTCATCAGATGACATTCCTGTGACTCCTGCAGCCATTTTCTTGCACTATTTCCCCAACTATCACAAGTTTTTAGTT